GGGGTTATTTTTCCTAGGAGGCTGTAGGGGGCACACTGTGGTCAAAAGTACTGACAAATAGGAGTCTGGGTTGATATACTTAGCTGTCTATTATTTTAAGTATAATGAGTTATTTTCTCAAATTAATAGTGACCATTAATAATAAAGCAACTAACACGGAGAAAAAAGAGGGAACAACCAAGGTAAGCCAGGAGACAAAGGTGGTAAAGACAAAAAAGCAAAAACAGTTGATCTCTATCTAGATAGGGCTGAGTTGAGGACAAAGAACCTGAAATCAGATATATCATGAAATTCCACTGTCTAAGCCCAAATACTGCGATATTAAATTTCATATTCAACGTGTTGTTATATTCACCTACTTTTATATTTTAGCAAAGGCAAGCAAATCATTTACCTATGTTTTCTTCCTACACCTTTAGCAGAATAAACAAAATGACTGGCATACCTCTAAAGGACCAGATGGCTGGTAACACTAAACAATCATTCAAATTCTACAGATCTCATTTTATTTAACATAAACTTCAGCAACTATTCTGTCTACTGCTTCATCATCACTGCCTAGAAAACGTGTTCAGTAAATACTGGATCGATGAAAAGATGAAAGAAGCAGCCCAGTCCACAGAGATACGGAAGCCACAAGCAAGCAAGCAAGCAAAGCATCTTCTGTATGATCCCTCCTCCCTGGTGGGGTTCAGAATCTCAGGAGCCAGTGGTAGAAATGGCCAGTGCTGATCCACAAATTCAAAGAACAAGGGGAACTGGTATTTATTATCTACAAGAAAACATGCAAGAAGGTAGAGAAACTACAAAGGATCATGCCTAAGACAAAGACAGAAAAAAACAAACTGGGTCAGCAATAGAGAGCAAGCCAGACTGGTTACTAAGAACCTAGAGATGACCAAAAACTAAACATCTCTGAAGAGGGGAAAGAAGCTTTTACAGCATCCCTGTGGTCTGTCCAAGTTGACTTGGCAGAACAAGTAAGGGTGTCAAGACATTCTAGACCATCACCTTTAATTAAGAGACTTTAAAAAGGTAAAAACATCTACTATAGCATCTATAGTATACTATGCTCTATAGTATCTCAATTTCAATAGCATGTCCCCTGAGGGTAGGAGATAGGGCATGTTTGTCTTTGCACATCCAGAGCCCAAGACACCTTAGAGAGACAAGGAGACAAAGAAATGCCAACAAAGGACACTGGGGAGACTGGAGGAGTAGGAAATACTAACTCAGAGTTTAGTAAAGAAACTGTTTCCAAAAAAAGGTAGTGATCAACCATGTCAAATGTTACTGACATTCATCCAATTGGTGATCCTGATGGTGGTGTGAATGTCTGATGTCAGTACAATCAAGAATGGCAGGAGAAAAAGTAGAGAAAGCAAGTTTCAGGAGTTTTGCTATTAAAGAGGGACAGAGAAAATATACTCAGAGGGGAATGTGAGATTAAAAAGGTTTTGCTGTAGTTTTTTGTTTTAAAGATGAGAGACACTGTAGCATGTTGTATGCTGATGGGAATTATCATGTAGAAATGTTCATCTGAAATAGAACAACTGCTGGGGTAATGTCCATGAGTTGGTGAGAAGTAACAGGATCCAGTATCTGGTGGAGAAGTTGGTCATTGACAGAGGAACAGTTTATCCATGTAAGTGGAGGAAAGTGAACTTGATGGGATACCTGTGCACTCAGGTTAGTAGATATGGAGGTAAGGACATGTAAAAATCTCTCACTGAAACAGGAAAACATACGTATCATCAGCTGAGAGTGAGAAAAGAGAAGAAAGCGTTATAGGCTGAAGAAGAACAAGAAAGTAGGTAAAAATTATCCAAACAAATGGGAAATAAGTGGACTAGGGAAATGTAGGATTTCCAGTCAGCACTAAAGGCTGTGGTCATGACTTCTGAAGTAAGAGTAGTCAACATGCCTGAGTACAGATGCAAAGGAAGAAAAAGCATAAGGAGGAATGAATCTTTTCTTTGTGCCTATTCTTCACAGAGTAGACTCTATAAATGAGCAGGAAACTAAACAATTGGATTTCAGGCACTTGCTTTTTTCCCTTGGATATATATACATCTATGCTTTTCAGAATATACATAATTTATGTCTATTTATATGGGTTAGACAAAAAAAAAAATACAAAATAACTTACTCCAAGTTAACACTACATATCTTTAGGGTGACAGAAATATGGAAATCATTTCCTATATTGTTCTCCCACTTCTTAACTCTGAGAATTTATGACTTCCACAAAAAGAAAAAAAAAATTCCATGAAAAAAATTATAATCCAATGATATACAAACAAAGCCAGTGCCACAATATGTTGACTGTCTTCAGACAGATGGAAAGTGCATACCACATTCTGGCAATCTTCAATACAGGTTGAATATCCCTTATCCAAAATGCATGGGACCAGAAGTGTTTGGGATTTTGAAATTTTTTTGATTTTAGAATATAGTATTTGCATATACATAATGATGTTTCTTGGGGATGGAACTCAAGTCTAAACACAATTCATTTACTTTTCATATACACTTTATACACATAGCCTGAAGATAATTTTATACAACATTTTAAATAATTTTGTACATGAAACAAAGTTTTGACTGTGTTTTGACTGTGATATCACATGAGGTCAGGTGTGAAATTTTCCACTTGTGGAATCATATTGGCTCTCAAAAAGTTTCAGATTTTGGAGCATTTCAGATTTCAGATTTTTCGGCTAAGGATCCTCAATCTGGTATAAAGACAACTTAAAAATAACTCATATAGACCCTGTCCCAAGCTGATAATGGCAAAGCCTCTTTGGGTTCTAGTGACCATCCTCCTCTCCCTAATCTGCCACTGCCTACGTGACAGGAGATCTCTACCTATCCTAGGTCTCCTACGTATTCCTTTACTGGAGCTACCACCATGAGAAAGTTTGAGAAAGATCTTATTTCTATAATCAGGGCAGGAAGCATACGGGATGAGGCAGAAGTCAGCGAGAGATGGGGAAGAGAACTCCCTCACTGCATATCTACTTTCCATTACTTCCCAGATGCAATGACATAGAGAGTTTCTAGTACTAGAAAGAACGAGAAGAGCCACAGACAGGGTCCACTGGGCAATATTAATAAATATAATCAGGTTTAGAAACCTCAAGGAAATGGTCTAAAAAACAACAAAATTAAATCTTAAAAAAAGATGAACTGTCTATGCTAGGTTTATAATGTGAGCAAGCCATACTCTTAATTATTTCAAACAGTTTATACTGATTTGAAATGAACAAATTTTTTCACCCTGACTTTATAACTCAGATTCGAAAGAGATCTAACAGGAAAATTAATTCTTTACCAAGTTTCATCAGTGAACATTTCCAAATTTTAGCATTAGGATAATATATCATTTTCTCATAAGTCAGTGTTTGAAATCTGGTATGCTCCAATAAAATTTTATATATACAGCTCAAATCAAAGACAGTCACAAAATAGAAGGCTGCCCTCAAAGCTGTTTATCAACCAATTTTTCCTGATGTTTGTACTTTTCCAACAAAATCCTAATAATCTGTAAACACAACATAATATAAAAACAAGAATACTTAAATACCAACAAAAGAGACAATTTAAACAATACATTCCAGATTGGGGCAGAGGTTAAAGACCTTAAAAAAAAAAAAAAGAGTCCATATACCATTGATATGGTTTGGCTGTGTCCCCACCCAAATCTCATCTTGAACTATAGTTTCCATAATCCCCACATGTCATGGGAGGGACCAGGTGGAGATAACTGAACCATCAGTGGTTTCCCCCATCCTGTTCTCATGATAATGAGCAAGTCTCATGAGATCTGATGGTTTTATAAAGGGCAGTTCCCCTGCACGTGCTCTCTTGCCTGCCGCCATGTAAGACATGCCTTTGCTCCTCCTTCACCTTCTGCCATGATAGTGAGGTCTCCCCATCCTTGTGAAACTGTGAGTCCATTAAATCTCTTTTTCTTTATAAATTACTCAGTCTTGGGTATGTCCTTATAGCAGCATGAGAATGAATTAATACCAATGTACAGGCTGCATTAACATACAACTGACCTTGTTCCCCTCCCCCACAAAAAAGATGAATGTATAGTGTTACCAAAAAAATTGTTTTAACTAACAAAATTTCAATAAGTGGGTAAACAACAAGTGAGAGTAAGTACTTAGCCTGTAACTAAATACTAAAAATATTCTTTTCTTTTTCTTTTGAGACAGAGTCTCACACTGTCACTCAGGCTGGAGTACAATAGTGCGATCTCAGCTCACTGCAACCTCCGCCTCCTGGGTTCACATGATTATTCTGCCTCAGCCTTCCAAGTAGCTGGGATTACAGTCGCACACCACCACACCCAGCTAATTTTTTTATTTTTAGTAGAGACGGGGTTTCACTATCTTGGCCAGATTAGTATTGAACTTCTGACCTCATGATCCGCCCGCCTCGGCCTCCCAAAGTGCTGGGATTATAAGCATGAGCCACCGCGTCCAACCTAAAAGTATTCTTTTCTTGAAGATTACTGGTATTAGAACTAGCCAATGTGAAGAATAAAAAAATTCAGTCATTAAAGTGACTTAGGAAAAATCCAAATATTGTAATTTAAATGAAAGCCATTCTCTACATGAAGTTAATTTAGTATTGGCAATGAATAACTGAGGCCTTTAGGGGTAACTTTAAAATTAGCCAACTAAGTTAGAGTTTTGGATGTATCCAAGAAATTATTACATGTGAATGAAGCTAGTTCAAACACCTGCAGGCTTATAAAGTCTTAAAATTCTGTGTAAAACTATTTGAAAATTTAATTTCTGCAAATCTACTTCTTTTTATTTTTCACTGTTATGACTTCTGTAAATACAATGTGCCAGACTCAGATATAAACACTTAAGTGGCATGGAACACAGTATTTTTAACCAGACTTTGAATTATTTCCTTAATTCTATCAGTTCGCTTATATTATTATAAACGATTGGTTTCCCAAGAGTGAAATCCCTTCTCACCTGTCTTTGATGATCCAGATCTGCTTTATTACCAATTAAAATCATTGGAAACTCATCACGATCCTTTACTCTGAGAATTTGTCTTTGAAACTTATAGATTTCTTCAAAACTTAAAAAAAAAAAAATCAAAAAAAAATTAATCAATTTCGTCAAGTATCAAAATTCAGCAAGTCTCATGCCCCATTTAGTACTTTCTTATTTTTCCTTTTGCTATAAAAAAAAAACACAAAGTCCAAATTCAATAAAGTCTAGTGATCTAGACGGTGAATCTATTCTAATTTGATACAAACCTGCCTCTATCTGTGACTGAAAAGACCAACAGGAAGCCCTCGCCAGTCCTCATATATTGTTCTCTCATGGCTCCAAACTCTTCTTGTCCTGCTGTATCTAAAACTAAAGAAAAAACAACCAATGTAATTATGCCTGTGCTTTCATTTTATAAACTGCTTCCCCGCAAGGGCAAACCCAATTCATGTGGGTCCTCTAGAGAGCCTCATACTTGGCATAATACAGAAATGGCATTCCTGTCTCAGTACTTTATTCTCAATACTAAAGACAAATATATTCTAATGGCAGACAGTTACAGAGTTTATCTTCATCAGTACTGGTTGAGTTTGTGGTTAGAATATATTAGCATACTAATTAGAAGCTTAAAAATATCAAACACATTTAATCAGATGGAGTCACATAACCTCTAAAATCACTTGAATGTTTTATCCCCTCCAAGGAAAAAACTGAAAAGATACCTGTAAATTCAAGAAAGAAATCTGAGTTATAATCACCGCCCCCCAGTAACATACTTAGTGCAGGTGTTAATATAATTTTTGATCTCTGTAAATAAAAGAACCATACATATTAGATAGAAAACAGGGCTTTCATTTGTGGAGAGGTGGAATGTTTAGACACAAAACAGTATTTGTTAAAGCCCTTGTGCTATAAATTCTAAGTAAAGTAACAAATATTGAACCTTTTCTATATTCATTTCATCCATTTTAATCTTTACCAAAAGGTAGGAAGAGTTGAGACCTGACATGTTTTTTCCAGTTGCCCCAGTAAATACAACTTCAACAAACTACAATGAGACTTGTTTCTCTAGAACAAGATCAATACAAATACTGTTTAACTTTCCATTTACTGAAGAATATTTAAATTGCCCATTATGAGGACTCATCAATCAAAACTTAGAAATGACATGGGCTAATATTCCAGATCATATAATATTTCAAACATATTATTTAACCTAACAAAACATCAGAGCTTGCTTTTTTAAAAAATATGATATGCAAATTATCAAATAAAGGAAATTTACTTACTATCTAGCCGCGCTGCTCTGTCATCTATCACACACTGCTTTGTGTAAGAATCTTCAATGGTTGGATCATAATCTGTTACAAAATAGGACTGCAAGAAAAGAAAAAACCTTATTTTAAAATTCATGGCAAGGCATGGTAACTCACACCTGTAATCCTAGTGCTTTGGGAGGCCGAGGCAGGAAGCCCACTTGGGGCCAGGACGTTGAGACCAGCCTGGGCAGCATATCAAGACTGTATCTCTAAAAACAATAAATTAAAGAATTAGCTGACATGATGGTGTACACCTGTGGTCTCTGCTACTTGGGAGGCTGATGTGGGAGGATCCCTTGGGCCCAGGTGGTTGGGGCTACAATGAACCATGATTGTGCCACTCTACTCCAGCCTGGGTGACACAACAAGACCCTGTCTCAGAAATAAGAATAAACAGAAAAATAAAATTTATGATTACCTGCCTACTAATGTACCAATGTAACTCTGCTTAACAAATTCCACTTATCCAGAACTAGTCAAAACATTTTCACTGTACTAGGGTTTATCCCATATGTCAATTCCCCATCAAATGAAGTCTCTTATGAGCACCTTCAAGTGAAGAAAAGGTACTAGGTTTCTCTAAATTTTCATATCTGAAATATGCAAGATTGCAAAAGATCTACTACAATTTTTTTCATAATTATTTAAGGTTAAGAATCTAGATCTCAAACTCCAGAAAAGTTAGAAAACACAGTAAGTTAATCAGATCTATTTGAATTAGCAACCTGATTATAATCATCAGTCCTAAGAAGACAAATAGAAGGAAAGAAATGGAGACAACACAAAGAGGCCTGGAACATTCCGTCTTCCACCTTTCTTTTCTCACACTTTGTTTTATTCCCCTTTCAACTGTCTTATATATTATGGTAAGAAAATATCATTTCAGAATTTTTTCATTTGTAGGAACCTCAAACTTATTCTTTCACTGATATCTTTTGTTGTTTTTTATCTTAAATTCGATTTCTCTCTTCTTTGATCAAAGCCTCCCAACTATTGAAGTCATTACCATTTAAAAAAAAAGGATGGTTAAATTATCCAAGTAAGAAGGGAAGAATCTCAGCCTACATTTCCGTTTTCTTTAAAAGGGTTTAAAATAATCGGCTACACAGGAGGCTGAGGTGAAAGGATCGTCTGAGCCTAGAGGGTCAAGGCTGCAGTGAGCCACGATCATACCACTGCATTCTAGCCTCAGTGACAGGATGAGACCCTGTCTCCAAAAAACAAAAAGGTTTAAAAAAGAAAACAACAATAATCTGAGACAGTGCATTTCCGTCTTTTTACAAAAGGGCACTAACTAAGACACCATCATCATCCTCCTTTTGTTCTGAGTATCTCCTTTGACCTACTTTGGAATGACTTCCTCAAAGCCCATTTTCCCACTGGCTCATCACAAAATCTGAAGGAATGATCTGGAAGGAGACAGCTTAATGCTAGGAACCAGCACCAAGGGTGTTTAAGCCTTCTTCAGGCAAAAGGGTTCCTAGCTCTATGAACACAGCATTCGTGGTGACCTATGCAAATACCAGAGAGCTACTCAGAAATAAGCACTCTGAACAGGACAGAAAAGAAACCCCTGGTTTGGGGACGGGATATACTAATCTGCCTGATACCATGACTTTATGTATTTTTTTTGAAGGACACTTCCACATTTTATTTAAATCTTAAGAATAACTTTAAGGCCAGACATGGTGGCCCATACCTGTAATCCTAACACTTCGTGAAAATCACCTAAGCCCAGGAGTTCCAGACCAGCCTAGGCAACAAGGCGAGACCGCATTTCTACAAAAAATTTAAAACTTAGCCAGACGTGGTGGGGTACACCTGTAGTCCTAGTTGCTTGAGGCTGAGACAGAAGAACTGCTTGAGCCCAGAAGTTCGAGGTTACAATGAGCTATGATCATGCCACACTGCATTCCAGACTGGGGGACAGAATAACACCCTGTCTCTTTTAAAAAAAAAAAAAAAATTGTTTTTAATTGAAATTAAAATTTAAAAGAATAATCACAGAATTCCATATCTATAATCCTATTTCTTTTTTAAATGTTTCACTTAAATGCATGATTTATTGAACAAAGTGTAAAAGAAACGTTTACTGATACTGAACTCGAGTTGGAAGAGGTGAGTCCAGTCTCAAAATGGAGGGCCATGATCCAAAGGAGCCAGAGCAGTTGAGAAAACTGTTTATTGGTGGTCTGAGCTTTGAAACTACAGATGATAGTTTAAGAGGACATTTTGAGAAATGGGGCACACTTACAGATTGCGTGGCAATGAGAGATCCCCAGACCAACGTTCCAAGGGCTTTGGTTTTGTGACTTATTCTTGTGTTGAAGAGGTGGATGCAGCAATGTGTGCTCGACCACACAAGGTTGATGGGCGTGTAGTGGAACCAAAGAGAGCTGTTTCTAGAGAGGATTCTGTAAAGCCTGGTGCCCATCTAACAGTGAAGAAAATTTTTGTTGGCGGTATTAAAGAAGATACGGAATGATTTGAGAGACTACTTTGAAAAGTATGGCAAGATTGAAACCATAGAAGTTATGGAAGACAGGCAGAGCGGAAAAAAGGAGGATTTGCTTTTGTAACTTTCGATGATCGTGATACAGTTGATTAAATTGTTGTTCAGAAATACCATACTATTACTGGGCATAATTGTGAAGTGAAAAAGGCCCTTTCTAAACAAGAGATGCAGTCTGCTGGATCACAGAGAGGTCGTGGAGGTGGATCTGGCAATTTTATGGGTCGCGGAGGAAACTTTGGAGGTGGTAGAGGTAATTTTGGCTGTGGTGGAAACTTTGGTGGAAGAGGAGGTTATGGTGGTGGAGGTGGTTGCAGCACAGGTAGTTATGGAGGAGGTGATGGTGGATATAATGGATTTGGTGATGGTGGCAACTATGGCGGTGGTCCTGGTTATAGTAGTAGAGGGGGCTATGGTGGTGGTGGACCAGGATATGGAAACCAAGGAGTTGGATATGGTGGCGATGGTGGAGGATATGATGGTTACAATAAAGGAGAAAATTTTGGCGGTGGTGTGAACTGTAATGATTTTGGAAATTATAGTGGACAATAGCAATCAAATTATGGACCCATGAAAGGGGGCAGTTTTGGTGGAAGAAGCTCGGGCAGTCCCTATGGTGGTGGTTATGGATCTGGTGGTGGAAGTGGTAGATATGTGGCAGAGGATTCTAAAAGCAGCAGAAAAGGGCTACAGTTCTTAGCAGGAGAGAGAGCAAGGAGTTGTCAGGAAAGCTGCAAGTGACTTTGAGGCAGTTGTCCCAAATGCATTAGAGGAACTGTAAAAATCTGCCACAGAAGGAGCGATGATCCACAGTCAGAAAAGTTACTGCCGCTTAAACAGGAAACCCTTCTTGTTCAGGACTGTCATAGACATAGTTTGCAAAAAGTGCAGCTATTGATTAACGCAATGCAGTGTCAATTAGATGTACATTCCTGAGGTCTTTTATCTGTTGTAGCTTTGTCTTTTTCTTTTCATTACATCAGGTATATTGCCCTGTAAATTGTGGTAGTGGTACCGGGAATAAAAAATTAAGGAATTTAAAAAAAAAAAAAGAAACGTTTACCAACAGCAGTAACTTTTAGTAGGAAGCCATCTCCTCCTCCACTGCTCTATCACCATTTAAAAATTAACAGGTATCAATTCACTTTACTTGCCTAAAAAAAAAAAAAAAAATAAGCAGGCATCGAAACAATCCTGAACTTACCTTTTGGCACCCACACCACTTCAAAAGTAAATAAACTGTACTGGCAACAATATTATCTGTACCCATTACTCTAAACAACAGGAATCAGCAGTCTTTCACAAGCAAATTGGAGAAAGCATTTGCTTTATACTTTTTTAAGATTTGTTTCTTGAAACATGTTTCTCCACATGCCATGCTTTTAACCCATAAAACCCGAATTTCACTGACTACTCCCAGTTGATGTCTCAAAGTACTACACTGTCCCTACTGGTTTTAGCTAAAAATATAATAAACAAATGTTAAATACATTTTTTACAAATATCCAAGCCATGCACAATAGTAAGAATTCTTTAAATGTGCCGGTTCTTTGCATTGTGAGATTAAATTAAGGTATTAACATGTACAAAAGATTGCTGGTTTGACTGTTGGTAGAAGATTGTTGCAACTTTAACTGTTTTACCTCTACTAGTTATGGATATTCCTTTGGATGTCTTAACTCTTGAAACACAATCTTAATATTACAAGAATTGTGCCATATTGCTACATGCATTTATTCCACTCATTAATATTTAAGACAAATTAATTGTGGGGATTTTAGATATTTAGGTTCATGCCTAATCTTTGCTGTGTCCTATCTTCATACTTTGTTTACAGAGACCATCATCTACTGGCTACATGTATGTTGTAAAGAGCCATCCACATTGAAAGATTCTTCTTCCTACGAAACATCACTCTCTGGGGTCTATCATAGAAACAAAAATCTCTTTCCCTCTCAAAATTCTAATAAGCCACAGGTCAAAATATCCCTAAGATGACCATTCACTGTATGCAGGTAACAAATACAAGCATCATCTCCCACCGAAAAGACAACATTTTTGTTACGTAAACTTGGGCACCAGATATTTGAGGCAACAAATCACCAATAAGTAATCAATCCTACTGATGAACATTCCTGGGTTTAATTCTAACTCTGCTACTCTCTGGCTGTGGGACCTGAGGCAAATCACTTTACCTGTCTAATCGTCAGCATCTGTTAAACAGTGATAGGAGCAAAATCCTGTGAAACAGATAAAATCAAGTATGCTATTGATTAATAAATGTCAACCACTATCATAACTATTATTTTTGTCATGTAGTTAAATGGTCCGAATTGGTGTTTTTCATTCAAGTATAAAGAACTGCTAAGCTCAGGAGTAACTGTAATAATTCCAGTCGTAGTTACACTTCAGACCAACCACAGGACCTCTGGGACTTGGTATGCAAATGCTATGAATCAAGATGAAAGCCCCCCATCTGGAGTTCTGGAAATATTCTCCAGAGCTGAGCAGCAACTACACAGGTAATTTACTTAAGTAAAAAATCA